AAAAAAAAAAAGAAGGTGTAAGTAGGACCTTTTCAGTCGTGCAATGTACTTCCGGAGAGTTGTTGGGGTTACTGGAAAGCAGAACTTGTTCTTAAGTCTTTGGAATTTGGTAGAGTGCTGTCTCTTTTAGGTTGTCACCAGCTGCTGGTTACGTGTTGATTTGTTTTTTCTTGGTTTTATGGTTTAATATTTTGAAAAGGTGAAGCTGGTGTGTTTTTTTATTTTTATTATTGATTCAAGTGTGTTGGGTCACTCTGCTGTTTTCTTTGTGGTGGTAGAGTCCCTGTGTGTACTGTGGATATGTGTTTCTGTTTGTCATAAAAAGGGTTTAGAGTTTGAAGTGGGAGGTTTTATGGTAATTGGCTGAATATGTTTTCTTCTATTGAGTTAGTGACGATATTCACGGAGAAAGTGGGAGCAGAAGAAGGAAAGCTTGGTGTTGCTAATGTCGGTTTCTAGGGCTTTGAGCAGGCTATTTTTGATGATGTATTTATTTGTAAGACTGCAGGTCAACCTCAGGAAAGATTCTTATTGTTAGAGCGCCACAAATTTCCGCCTTTTTCAGACACACTCAGAGTTCCCGCCCTTGCGGCCTCACAGCACTAAAGATTGGCTCCAAGGCAAAAAATCCCGGGAGTGCGGTTTCTTCCCTCTCCTTGTTCCATCTGCCCGCAGTGCTGACGTAATCCCACCAGATCACTAATGGCCGGCTCTGGGGTTTGTCTGTGATACCTCCCTGTTGCGGCACCAAAGGAGCACGCAGTTTCAGCTGTGTTATGGTCGGGGGAATTCCTGCTAGTTACCTGCGGTCCCGATCTCTGTGACAAAAGCACAATGTCTCCCAGTCTGACCCCAGTCTATTCTGTGACCCCATTGGGAGGGGAGGGAGCTACTTTTCCTGTTGCAACAGTAAGTTTTCCTTCAAATCTCAGCGGAGGTGTCCGTGCTCGCAGCCAGCACCCAGGAGACCCAAATTATCTCCAAAAAATCAAGATGAGCTGCTACAAGCAGGTCTCTGCTGCTGCCCACTGGAATATTAGGGTGGTCGCTGGTAAGCTGTTATAAGGCGTTCTCCCTCTTGGCTCGGGGTTCTTAAGTGGGCGTCCTAGCCCGGCACACAGTGTCTGCTCCAGAAGAGTTTCCACTGCCTCTCTCAGGTGTCCTTCCATCCTCCTCCAATAGCTCTTTCCTAAGTAATCTCCCTGTGCCTTTTCTCTAATTCTGCTTTTCCGTGTTTGATGTACTCTGAATCAGTGAGTTGTTCAGAGCACTGAAGTTCCTAATTCAAACTGTTGTGGCTAGTTTTCCAAGACCTTAGATGTTAGAGGGATAAAGCGTGCTGCTCACTGGCTCGACTCCATTTTGAACTCTCTGTAGGTTCTCTTTCTACTCTTTTGGAAAAGTCTTTAGAAGCACATAAAAATTCATTTTTTAGAAGGTCCCATTCATCTAGTTTATCATCTGCTGTTTGTGTGTTTTGGGTTCTTCTTGATAGTCTATTTATGCCATAAATTAGGGCCCCTAAATTTGCCCCCATTTTTTCCTTGAGGAACTTTATAGTTTTAGGTTTCACATTTAAATCTCTGATCCATCTAGAGTTAGTTTTTGTGTATATTGTGAGGTATGGATCTTGTTTCATTTTTTTTTTGCAAATGGATATCCAGTTTTGCTAGCCCCATTTGTTAAAGAGACCATCTCTTCCCCATGTAATAGATTTCAGCCCTTTGTCAAAAATCAGCTGACCATAGGGTGATGGATCTATTTCTAGATTCTCAGTTCTGTTCCACTGGCCGATGTGTCTGTTGTTGTACCAGTACCAGGCTGTTTTGACTACTGTGGTGGTAGAATAGGTTTGAGATCCGGAAGTGTGAGACCTCCTACTTTGTTCTTCTTCATTAGTGCTTTGCTTATCCGACATTTCTTTCCTATTCATATAAAATTAGTGATTGGCTTTTCCATGTCCTTAAAGATTGTTGATGGTATCTGTATTGGGATTGCATTGAATATATAGATTGCTTTGGGTAGTATTGACATTTTCATGATGTTCAATCTTCCTATCCAAGAGCATGGTTTGTTCTTCCATTTATGTAGATCTTTTATGGTTTGTTGAAGTGTAGTGTTTTGCAGTTTTCTTTGTACAGTTCTTTTGTGTCCCCAGTAAGATTTATCCCCAAGTATTTTATTTTTTTGGTGGTGGTGTTATGTGCCATCGAGTCCAACCCGACTCATAGTGACCCCTCCTTGGATTTCCGAGGTGGTACCACTACGGAAGTAGATTGCCCAACCTTCCTTCTGAGGAGTGGCATGTGGGTTTGAACTGCCAGCCTTCTGGTTAGCAGTCAGGTGTCTTAGGCATTTTTTTTTTTTTTTTTATAGCTATTGTAAATGGTAAGGAGCTCTGGTGATATAGTGCCTAAGGCATTTGACTGCTAACCAGGAGGTTGGTGTTTCAAAGCCACCAGCCACTCCACAGAAGGAAGACTGGACAATTTATTTCCATAAAGATTTCTGCCTTAGAAACCCAAAGAGGGTTGCTATGAGTCAGAATCAACTCCATGGCAGTGAGTTTGGTTTGGTTTATTGTAAATGGTATTGGTTTCCTTATTTCCTTTTCAGCAGTCTCTTTGCTGGTGTAGAGGATCCAAGTGATTTTTGTATACTGATCTTTGAATCATGCCACTATGCTAAATCTCAATTAGTTCCAATGGCTTTTTGCTGAGTCTTTTGGGTTTTCTATGTATAGAATCATATCGTCAGCAAACAGGGATAGTTTTACTTCTTGCTTACAAATTTGGATGCCTTTTGTTTCCCTTCTTTGCCTTACTGCCCTGGTTAGGACTTCCAATACTGTGTTGAGTAGAAGTGGTGATAGAGGGCATCCTTGTCTGCTTCCTGTTCACAAGGGAAATGGTTTCAGTCTCTCTCCATTGAGAATAATGTTGGCTGTTG